CTACTGAAGAGTCGGCCTCCCCGCCACCTAGGCCAGCACAGGGTTCTATATATAGGGCATTTTCCATGATTTTTTTTCCTGCTTTTTTCTTCACTACTGGATCACGTATTATATGAGCTCCATAACTCATTATTCTTGAAAGCGGGCTCAGCCTTCAAAGGCTGAACCAAAGTAGTTAACACGTTGACGACGAGCCATTTTTCCCATGACTTGCGCCTGGGACGGCACATTTTTCTACACTGAAACTTAGTAATTTCCAAATAAATGAATTACTACGACCAAAATGTATCGAGAAATGCAAGAGACGAGTATAGCAATCTCGAATCTTTGACACAATTTAGCTCTTATTGCTCCAATCTTCCAAAATCAGGCCATTTTTTACCAAATTCTTCCTCTGGAGACAGAATTGACTGAAAATTTGTCTCCCGGGGTGGTTTGATCTCCTAAAGAACAATATCGCATCCCTCGACCCGAAAATGTTTGTTCTTGAACTAATTTTATGAAAAGAAAGTGAAACAATCGCGCAGATCTTGAGTTATATAATAACTGTGGGACAGCATTGGGCGACGCCCACAAGACAAACTTTCTGTCGTCCACCATTGACGGAAATCGTCGTCAACGCGTTAAGTGGACATGATATTTTTGTTGAGGGGGTCGGTTCACCGGTAGGGACAAGTTTTCAGGGAATTTGATGATCTAGGACATTTTGGCGCGGGCGCCAGGCATTTTCGCGGGAAACGAATGTGATATTCGTGTTCAGGGGTCACTAACCCACGAGACAAGTTTTCAGCGATTTTGGTGACCTAAGTATTTTGGCGCCGGCGCCTGTGGCGCGGGCGCCGGGCAGTCCGGGCCAAACCACTGTGCTGTTCGTTTCAGAATTTCAGCCTACTCCTATAGACATCTTTTGAACAAACTTGGTTGCTCGCACGTCTTTATTATTAGAGCAGTATGCTGTCGGACAGCATTGTCCGACACCGTCCCATGAGACAGACTGGCTGTCCTAGGGCCCCATTCGCACGTCGGTTGTCCGACACCGACGTGCGTGCGAATGGGGCCCTAGGATTTCCGCTCGCTCATATCCTGTCTGATATTCACTCATCATCTCATCATTTACATCCCTTGCATCTCTGACCACTTATGCAGACTGTACATGTGTGCCATTCACTCAAAAAAACACGTGTTCAGAATTACGCCGGAAACGCCGGAACCTCTAACTCACCCTGTCGGAGTACACCGAGGAACAGCAGGACATGTTGCACTACCGCAGTTGGTCTGTTCTACGAAGGTGCATGTCTGGCCAGCAGGACACTGTATTGTTGAGCACCCAGCTGAAATTTTGGGTTTATATGTGGTTAGCTCTCACATACGTACAGCACGTTTGCCTCTGTGATGAGGATCTTTCCTTCTACTCTTCATATGAATTTCCCGAAAATACTCACCAGAATTTCCCGGCACGCAAAAAGGTTGTAGACCACCTCCAGTGTTCCTCAGTACGCAGACGAAATTTGGCGCACATTGCACTTCGGTACAGTCTCTAGCCACTGCAGGAAAATGCATGATTGAAATCGTTTAGTCATCATCTCACATGCTCTAGGGTTTGAAGGCACTTACAGTTAGACCCTGCCCTATCTATATTTATGACTTTGGCGACTTTGAGGCAATCGGTGAGCTTTTTGCATTTACTCACAAATCAGTGTTGGAAGTGGGGAGAAACAAAACGGGGTATAGTCAGTCAGTGGCCTGGTGACCAGCGAAACGGCATATGGCACGATAATAAGGTACTTGGTATAAAATGCTAGCAGGGTGCTTTGTAGAGGGGAAAGAGAAGGAAAAATTGAAGTGAAGCGGTCAAAAGCCTGCGGAGGAAAGCCTCGCTTGAGTGAATCAGGAAGCAAATTCGGACGATCTCCCATAAGGATGCCTTCCTTGGAAAAGACCCATGCAGCGCCTGCTCAGGGATGCGAATTCCGTCCGACCAGGTGTAATAATCCTACACGTTTCAGGGACTTATCGTGCCAACTGCCTTTGGAGAGCATTTTTCCAAACAGCTTTTATCGGAGATGACCCTCCCCTAGTGGTTCCCATTACAATAAAGTAAAAAATCCGGAAGAAGAGTGAAGAGTACGATGGTACAGGGGACAATAACAAACAAAAGAAGCTGGTGCTATAACATGGAAGAAAATAAGCAAGTGTATCAGTCAAACTCACCTTGACCATTCGCTGACTGCTTCCCCAGGAGCGCGAGCAGTACCTGCAAAATCTGTCAATAGTAGTTCGAGGTGAGATCTTGCATGAGAATTTGCTGAACATGCTGAAGCTAGATCGGCCACCCTTCTGGATAAATATGTCCGCGAGGAGTTGCGATCGCCGCTCCTGAGAAGATTAAAAAAGGACGGGAGAGAGACTACTTACACTACTTACACATTTTCTTACAAGCGCTGTCCTTTTTCTTATTAAATTATTCTGCTAATATAACATTTTTCAGAGTTGCAAAGCGAAGTATGAGGGCGGCCTCAGACAAATATCTACCGATCGATTGGCGATCTGGCTAATTCTGGACTTTCGGGTGCTTTTCATCAATGATTTCGAAATGGTCATAATTGGCGATAGCCATATGTTCAACTACTAAGCAATTACGTGAAAGTGCTCTCAGGCTATTGCTAGACCACTCAGCGATTCGAAAAACGTACGTCTTGAAAAAAATTTGCAAAATATCAATCCCTTCATTCAGGATTTCTTCTGGCCACTACCCAATCTGGCTTCCTTCCTCTCAATATTCCCAACTTCCACCCTTTTAACGTTCGCGTCTCGGAAATTCCTTCACACTACTACGCGAAAAACCCCTGTGTCGAGGGAATATAAATACACCGATAAGGCGAAACGGAAAAAACCGAGAATTGCTGATTTAAGGCTTGTGAGCTTTTACCTCCATTGAGGCACTGCCACCTTTTGAACGAATCTGGGAACATCAAGGCGCTAAACCGCAAAACGTTTTTGAAACATGCTCATCAACCGATGCAGGTACACTCCTTATCCCTGAGCCAGAGTAGGCGTGGCATTTGAACATGGCACGGAACTGGTTACTCGTGGAATATTCCAGTCTGGGACAACTGTCATCTTGTTCTGTGTTGGACAGAGACACGACAACAATTGTGTCAAGATGAAAATATCTCACCAGAAGCATAACACCTCCAGGTTAAGTTGAAATGCGGCCACCCTACCCGATAGGATCGCGAGTATATATCAATTGAGAGGGAATTGGGGTGTGAAACATCGCACGAGCTTGTCACACGTCCCTGTTAAGCAAGCTCACGCAGTCGTGTTACGGGTCAGATGGGAAGCTGGTTGAGGAAAAACTTACCAGAAGAAGAAGATGAAGGGTAGGAGTCATAGTACCAAAGGTACCGTAACTCTGCTGCTTTTTATAGGTATAGCGATCTGTGGGGTCATCAAATCATCTCAATTAAAATCGGTCGCGGACTCAATTCCTAGGGCTAATCGCGTTAGTAGCCTAGCTATTTCATATGCGAGTCAATCAAGGTTCCTCTTGTTCAACGTCAACAATTATTAAGAAATAACAGCCGAAGATAGATAGTATCGCAAGGATGCGAGGGCGATAAGATTTATGCGTGAGTGAGCGCACATGGCAGGTTGGCTAATTTTTACTTATGAGTGCGAGAATATATCACAACACGAGATGTATTGCTGGGATCTCAAGCCGGAAACCATGTGGGAGATCCTGCAAAGAGAACGCAGCATTACGTAATCCTCTTAGTTCTCCGTGATGACCCAGGCACTTTAACACGAATTACGTAGAGCTCCGTACCCAATTTTAGTTGTTTGTGCAACGTTTTACATTGCTGATAAGAGGACAGGCGACGTTATAATTGGGGTAATCCAACTGTGCTGCATTCTGGCTTGGGTAAGCTGAGCCATACTCATCCTCCCATCCACTGTTCTCCTCCAGTACTTCGAACTAAATGCTAAAATCGAGTATTATAAAAGTATTCAGAGGGAATGGGTGGAGAATCTGCTTATAAGACTTACCCCTACAACTTGTTTTACAACGACAAGGTAAACCGACGCTGAGTACCTCTACACCAGACAGGTCTAATTCCAGAATATTCAGGACGAGTAAAGCATAGCATTGCGGAAAATAGGCTATAAGTACTTACTACGGCCACTGAAAGCGACTCGAAAGATGGTGCTCTTATGCCTAGTGTGACAGGCGAAAGTTTAGTAGTCGGACATCAATGGCAGGTGTAATACTGTTTAGGGTTGCTTCCGTTGAGCCGTTGAACATGAAGAACACTGTTATGTCATTCTGGATAAAGAACCACTGAATGTTGACACTTCTTGAAAATTGGTTTAACTTCCTTCACAGACAAGTGTCGAGCGTTTTGGCAAAACAACGTAAGTTGTGATCCGCGCTGAAGATAATATAGACCCGAAAAATACATGAAAACAATCGCTCTGGTGGCTTCTACCCAGAATACATAGCCTTCATCGAATCAAGGACCTAATTCAACCTCTTGGAAATCCACAGTTTTTCACTTTTGCTTTAGTAAGCTTTTCGAAAAAATCACCCCATGGACAGGTGCTTTGAAGCTGTGAAAATGGGCCCCTTTACTCGACTGCCCACTCCTCACGCCAGACTTCGGGATTCTTCAAAGGAGCAAATTTGGCTATATATCAGCCCCTTCCAGCTGTCCATTATCTACTTAACTTTTCGGAGATCGGATCGAGCTCAGAGGCTTAAAGGCAAAGCCCGCGATCACCTTGCTGTTCATAGCATATGTGGAATGAGGAGTTTTGCTATAGACGGCAAAGGTGCTGTAATCAACTCGATAATGAAAGAAACAGCAGAAATAAACTCGGTCACACTACCCTAGATAGGAATCGCGTTTCCTGCATCCAATTCCTGTACGTGCCCAGTCCAACCCCACTTCAAGCAAGTCCCCGCGTACTCTCTAGATTCCGGATAGGCGGAGCTAAAATTTACCAAAGATATTAGTGCGTAGTATTCATCGTCGCCGATCGATGCCGCTTGACGACCTCAACCTTCGGGGGCGGGGCAGAGTTGTAGTTGAGCAAACAGACGACATGTTATTCACTGTTCCTTTCTGTGTTCGCCAGATAAAGGTTGTGCTCCTCTCACTTCTCTCTCTCTCCGCCACATCTCTCTCTCTCTCCGCAATCTTATTAACTGCACCAGCGCAAGCCATTTGGATGTAAAAGGGTTTAAACTAACGCCTTAGTCTCCACAGCATGCGCACACCTAGGTACGAATAGAAGATGGCAGAAAAAAGTCCGCATGCCCTTAAATAGGGACAGTCATGGTCGACCCCCAATTTGTATATGCAGTTTGATGCAACGGAAGAAGCATGTTTGTGCGAAATGCGCTCGTTGTTATCACAACGACATCAGCTCTTCTATCTTATCATTTCACTCTCACCGTTCGATGGAGAGATAGCAAAGTGGCTACCCGGCAGGGGCCTGAGGGGTGCCATGGGCCTAAGTGGTCAGCTTCCAGTGGAGTTCTTGCCAATTTTCACTTTTTGAAGGTAGCACAGCCTCCGGGATCGCCTTCCGAGTTATCTGACACGTTTGAAAGATTATAGCCTTTTTTTATCGCGGAAATTGCCTTTAAGCATTACACCCTCATCCGCACGGCTGATTCCCCGATAAGAACTCTACGACCGCACAAGTGACGATTTTCATGCTTTTTCGTGCTGCAGTTTCGTTTTTCACTGAAAGGCGGGCCTTGAAGGCGGAGTCTGGAGGCGGAGTCACTGGAAAAAGGAGGCGTCACTGAACCTATATTGCGCTATAGCGCCCCTCCCTTACAATTTTTTGCCGTGAAATCGGTATAATATTGTTCAGCGAGAACTACACTACTTTCCTGACGCCATATTTTCAACTTCTATACCTGGTCGCGGATCGTGCTTTTGAACGCGGCGATTCCCAGGCTTTCCCGTTTTGCTTATGTTATTATTCCCCTCGACGGCATTTTTTGCGAGTGAAGAATTTCCGGAGATCCTCGGAGTGGCATTAAGTTGGGAATATTGGAGAAAATGGTAGGCAGGATGGGCGCAGTTTGTCGACGGGGGGCATTCTGCTTTCCATAGATGTGCCGACCCATCTAGGTAGCCTTTTCTCGAGTTGACACGTTTTAGGATGGTGGCTAGACGATCTTACTCCAGCTTCTTCACAGGAGTTCACAAGTTTTACCAGGGTGAGGTTTGTAACCGGAACTAGGGAAGCAATGGTAGTACAAAATGCCCCCCCCCCCGTCGACAAACAGCGCCGCAGGATGGGGAGGGCCGCCGCACCAGAGGAGGAAACCCGAAGGGAGATGATCTTTTGCAAATTTTTTTTCACGGCGTACGTATCCGTATATCAAATCACTGAGTGGTCGAGCAGTACTATGAGAGCACTTTCACGTCGTTGCTCAGTAGTTGAACATATGGCGTACCCCCTACCATTTTCGAGTGCAAGTGTTATTGAAAATTACTCTGAAGTACTTAGATAGAGCCTCCATTCTAGGTTGAGTCAGCCCGACTCGCAATGCGCGGTTGTTTCGTCTGATGGCCGCTTATAGTTTGCAACTCAGGCGCGGTGTCCGCAGACGCTCGCGGCATATTAGAGAGGGAGGAAGGGCTATGTGGCTTCAGTTCTCAGCAATTCCTCATAAGACGGTCATTGGTGCCAACTGTTACTCTAGTTACTTCTTAACAGGCACAGTTCTGCCGACCTCGCATGCGCGCAACGGAACTCAAATAGGCCACAAAAAAGTTGCTAAGTGGTCTCGATTAGCGGAGAAAAGCAGCAGTAAAAGCAGTCAAATGTTATAGAGAAGGATAACATAGTGGCTACTAGCTAGTAGCTAGCAGCCGGTGAGGGTCGGCGCGATGGCTGCCTAAGGGGTGTCAATGGGCCTAATTAGTCAGCTTCTAGCGTTCTTGCTGTTTTTTTCACATTTTGAAAGTAGCGCAGCCTCAAAAATCGCCTTCCGGATCGTCCGACACATTTGAGAGGTCATAGCCTTTTATCGCGGAATGTGCCTTTAATGATGTGGTTCACAGTCTGCCGTCCAGCGTTTTCTGGAAAAACGCCGGCAGGTTACGGCGAAAAGCTTTAATACGTATCGATGGACGCGTTGGCGGAAGCAGCTTCTGGAAGTATGCGCGAAGGGTTTTGGTACGGGATCGAGGCGCCAGTTACGCAGAGCGACGACGTTTTTCGCCTTCGACGAAACCCTACTCGCCGCGGCGTTTTTCGCCAGCGAAATCGACATATCTATTGCTTTTCGCCCAACCGCCGAACCGCGGCGGTTCGGCCGAAACTACCGGTTGGCTATTCTCCGATCGATGACTATTTTTTGCTTTTTGCCCAACTGCCATTTCGTCAGGGTCGCAGACTGAACAATCCCTTACCTTCACGACTGCATGTCTATTCAATTAATTAAATGAACAAGATAAGCTATTATCGACAGCATATTATGCAGGCACTGCTCGCGCTCCTGGGGAGGAAGCAGCCAGTGAACGGTCAAGGTGAGTTCACCGATACACGTGCTGATTTCCTCCACACTATAACATCAGCTTTCTTTGTTTTTGTTCGTGTCCCGCGCATTTACTCTTCTTCCTATCCATTCCTCTTCCAGATTTTTTACTTTAGTGGAATGGGAATCGCTAGGAGGATGGGGATCTGTCCGCGTTTATTTCCAATAAAAGCTTCCACTTTGGACTCCAGGTGTAGTTCGACCTCCTGTACAATCATGGCATCCGTTCGGCACGAAACCTCATGATGCCACCACAAGCGCGGGTAATAATATACCCAGTCACCATATTGGTCTTATAACTTGTCCCAGGGGTAGTTTGACCCCTTAAACACGATTATTACCCTTGCATGTGGTGCCGTGAGGACGAGGGTGGCGATATGCAGGGGTACAAGGGCCTCCTTCCGTTTGCCTGCACCCTTTCTCCGAGATAGAAATCCGTTACTCTGCTGTGGTTGAGCCTCAGCAAAGGGAACCATCACTATTGCATGCAACCAGAAACTTGGACTGGGACTCGCCGTGTTTCCGGCCGGGAGGTTTAGTGTTCATTGGGATAATTGTGTTCAGAAGCCTGAACAACGCCTGTGGTAGCTTCCCAGCCAGAACTGCACTGGGAGAGAAAAGATTATAGAAAATTGGTCTGATTTTGGATGCTTGGAGCGTAAAGGATAAACAGCACTGTACTTGCTTCTTCTTCTTATTCTTTAGCGTTTGTTCCGCTCAATGTCGGGGTCCGCTGTCTTGATATGATTGCCACTTTTCTCGATTGGATACCTGGTCGGAGATGATTCCAGCTATTTTCAAGTCTGTACGCAACGTATCAAGTTAGCGCT